TTGACTCTGAACTAACTGCGAGTACTCATATCGATGCTGCGTGTTTAATTTCATGTTAGTTGCTTTTTGTGCTTCGTACCGATCTATTCTATTGATTAAAGCTTTTGCAACTAATTTTCGAATGTCACGCCACTGTCTCAGGTTAGGGGAGGATTGAGCGCTCACAAACATGTACCCCGACACGTTCTTTATATGTCTGTCTCAAGTTTGGAGACTGTAATTTCGTGGTTATAGATATCGTTGGTTCGTGTCCGTCATATTTGTTTCTTCAAAAATTGTATGGTTATAAATTATACCGTTAGTTTTGTTGTTTGAATTGTTTCACATTTATCATGTCGGGCTTTTCATAGCTGCTATACGGTATGGGTTTTAATCATGGACCCTTATATTGTTACCTGAAGAACTAAGGTAATTGTATACAGGAAATATTTAGGAATAAGTGTTAAAAAGGCACATAAGCATATAATTTCAAATAATGTTATACCGAACAAAATTACTGTGATTCAAGAAATTTAAAGCCTTTAAATGTCTGCGCCTGTTGTTAGAAATTTAATCCTATATAATTTAAGAAAGATAGTTTATCGTTACAACAGACAATTCAAGAACTGGTTTAATTTTGGTGAGGTTCTAAAAACAGAAGTTCGATGCCACTGTTGGTTGGTGTTATCCCCGAGGGAAAAATTCAATAATTAGCCCAGTAAGTCAGTACACCTGTGCAGACATGAAATATAATTTTCCGTAAATAAATTATTAATAAAACATCATTTTTTTTTAAATACTAAGTATTTGCCAACCTCTTGCATAGAGGGCATTTACCTCATTGGCACAACTTATGGGGAATTTTGGTTTTCAGTACTATTTAGCCGAATCATTGATTTAGCCTTCCTATTGGTTTTTTTTCGGGTGTCACTGGTGAGTCTTATGTAGACGACCACTCCTGGCCCAGTGGGGTACATAATAGTAAGTCTGCTAAATTTGATGAGATTTTTATATATAAAAGTCAAAACAATTAACCTACCAATATAAAAGAAAAGATGTAGTATGATTGCCAAATGAGACAACTATTCCCCAAAGTTCAAATGAAGTGGATGTAAGCAATTATAGGCAACCGTACCTCCGACCATGAGAAAATCCCATACCGTATAGTCGGCTATAAAAGGTCCCGACATGAAAAATATGAAACAATTCAATTGAGAAAACTAACGGCCTAATTTATAACAAAACAATTTACGAAAAACAAATATGACAGACATGAACCAACGATAACCACTGAACTACAGGCTCCTGACTTGGGACAGGCACATAAAGAATGTGGCGGGGTTAAACATGTATATTTTTGATTAGTTTATGTGGAAGAGAAGTGATAAAGGTATAAGAATCGTTACTATCAACAAAGTTAACAACATGATAAATAGAAGTAAGCTATTTACAGGGCTTTTATTTCACATTTTAACCAAACGGAATAAGAACAGAAATTATATCATACTAGAACTTAGATTTAAATAATCTGAGTCTTAAATGTCGGCCACGCAATGATCTATTTTTTATCATTAGTGTATAAAAAATAAATGGTAGCGCCTGAGGCTCACGTCGTTAATGTTCATTCATGTCTTTCAAATTTGGCACTTCTTTGAAAACTGAAAAACGAAACTATATATATATATTGTTTTGGTTTTTAAATCATGTTAAACATTTTCAAAATGAACAATGAAGCTGGTGTTTGATATAAACACGATATAATTATTTGTCAGTTATATTACTTTTGAATTATTTAAAGGGACATCATTAGCTACGAGTTAGACACAAATTTGAATACGATTCTATTTGTTTCAAGTATCAATAAAAGCGGAATGTTGAAAAAATATTTCGTTATTAGTAGTTAGTTTGGCCCAAATTTGTCAAAATAATCTCAAAAACATAACTGATGTATTATTGACTTGCAAGTGAATAATTCTATCTCATGTGAATCCGTATTCATGTAAACATCAATTTAACCCCTTATCTAGAGATACGTTACGCATGTAATAAGCGTGCTTAGCTATTAAAAGGAAAAGAATGTCAACATTGAAAGTAAAACAAAGGTGAATCATTTCGATGATTAACCTATAACATGAAATCAAACAGACCTAGAACAATCCAATTGTACGTGATCGCTATCTATCTATTTATGTTTATATTTATGTTTATATCGAGTCCATGCATTGTTAATTGTTTATTTTAGACTTTTTGTAATTTGGATATACGTTTTAGTATGTTATACATCAAATATGAGAATTGGAGTCAAATCGGTGAACATGAATTCGACAGCTATTGCCCCTTTAAGACATGTTTAAGGAAGAAAATAGCTATTACAGGAAAGGCAACATGAAAACAAATTGAAACAACTTAATATAATTTTTTGGATGCGCCAGTCTTTTAAAATTGAACGTTCGTCTGTCCCTATGAATGTAGCAAGTAACCATGGTATCCATGTGCGCATTGTGAAGAATCTAAAATTGTGAATGCTATAGAGGGTGATCTTCATTTGTCCTTAAATAGCCATATAAGCATTGAATAGTATTGATTAACTTCCAAGGTTTTAACATTTCTGAAGAGTCCATATTCTTAATTAAAACTGTGTTTAAAACATTTTCAATATTATTCACCATTTAATATTTTCACTGGCAATGGGTACACTCTGCATTTTCAATATTATTCACCATTTAATATTTTCATTTGCAATGGGTACACTCTGCCGTTAATCCACCAAAGTATCACTAGCCGAACAGTTTTGAACTCCATTACTGACAAAACAAAAGATATTTTCTTATCATATTTGTATTTAAGATTAGGGAATTAGCCCCCGAGCCCCAAACCAAACCAATCCCCCCTCCCCCATTCATATCTCCGACTCTTTAAATTAACGATCCTTTAGTGAATTTGACAAAAACAAAATCATGTTATTTTTTAATAATCATTTAAATTAGTTAGATTAATCAGACATTCTTTTTTAAATGACAGAAACACAAAAACAGTAAAAATACGTTTTCTATACGTATACATACCGTTTTTCGGTTGCTCAAAAATAATATGTATTTGATCAAATTTTAAAGGCACTTCTCCTTGTAGGTCATAGTCTCATATATTTCTACATTTATGTTTATTAACCCGATGTTGCGCAGTGCTTATAAAAAGTTTTAAGGTAGATAGGAAAGAAGGAAACAGAACTATTATTTTTTCTTCTAAGCAGTAAGCAGTATGCACATTCTACCTTACCAGTATATATGAATGTTCATTTATATTGTATAATTTGTTTTTTGTATTTTGTACTTGTCAAAAATTAATTGCAATTTGTTTAAAGTTAATATGGTAATAAAATTTGATTTTAATTTATATGATTATAAGACCCTGCTCAACTGGTTTTTTTTTTTTTTTTTTTTTTTTTTTTTTTTTTTTTTTTGCGAACGACCATGAATAAATCATTGGAAAGTATAATCAATGCTTAATGATTTTTACTTCAATTTTCAAAAAAATACCATTTTGTAGGAAATATAATTTATTGAAAATTGTTTTCTGCTCTATAACCAATATCAAATATTTCATGCATATTCAGGACGAAAATTGGTACACATGAGACTATATACTAGTATTTATTCCATTTATGGTTTTTTGTTACTATTTTGTTTGAATAGCTCAACTTGTCAGTGTACAGTGGGTTTTCCTTATTTGAAACTACCCCGAAGGTAATGATTTGTGATTATATTCTAATATTCTATTAAAATCCATTCATGCCAACTTCAAATCATATACATGATATACAAATAAAAAGTTTAGAGTTGATGGGACAGGTTTAACGTTGTATGTAACCTTCAGAACACGGTAAATGTGAAGTATTGTTATTTGTGTAATTCTCTCAGTAATTTCAGTGACGATGGAATGGATAATACCAATTGACTTCTACCTGAAATAATTTAATTCTTTAGGGAGGGTAAAACTATTTCAGAATTAACGCTATCGTGTGTCAGTCTAATCGCGGAGATTCGTTTTAACTATTTTATGGTTTGATTTCTTCCACAGTGCCTTATTCATGACCATCAGAACGAAGCCTATTCCATGTTCGGTGGAACTTTGCATCATATTAATAATAACCATAATAAAAGCATTCGAAAATGAATTAAAAAAAACAAATGAGAAATTATAACAAACATAAAATTTGTGTCGTTTTCACTTAACAAAATCCCACAAAATCAAAAGAATTCAACCCTGATGTAAATGTATGCTATTGCAAAGCACTCCATAGCTTTTTAGAAAGGTTAAGCTTGTATGAACTTTGATTAGCATACATAATGATTAATAGGTGGAAGCAGTGACCGAACGTGTGGACACAGTGGACAGAACAAATCATATGTTGCGACGGACCAAAGCAGGCACAAACTTAAGGCGTCTCTGCGCTTATTCACCCTTACCCGTTAGAGCTACAACTATGAAATTAAAAGCACAAACATTCTATGGCCGGAATATCAAACTGTCAGCAACATAAGATATTCCATCTCCTTGAATAAAACATATAATATTATCTAATAACATAAATATTTTCAAGAATAGAGTTTGACGATGATTAATTACGCATGCTGAAACAATTATTGCATTTATCAGATATTCCATTGAAAATGGTGAAAAAGAAAAAGAAATTAATACCGGTATAGATATTGTTATGTTTTTGTTTTTATTTTGCTGTCTGAACATGCTGAAGTAAGCAGGTACAATTCTCGCAACACATTTAATATTTTTCAGGTACTTTTCACATGTAGCGTTAAAAGAAAAAAAAAATTGTTTTAATTACGATTAAAAAAACTACTGCATTCAAAAATCGTCTCGCTATGAATTCTAGCCGAATTGATTATTAAAATCCATTGTGTTTACCTTAGGATGATAGATGAAAGTTTGGTTATCTCCCGTGAATTAAAAAAGCTTCAAATTACAAACATTACAAGTGCATAATATGTGTGTGAGATAGGTGAGATATTAAAGTTTGACCTTTAACCTGACGTCTCTATTAAAAAAGAAGTCACCTGTAAACTTGGTGTACATAGATCTTACTGATTGTTTGGTTTAATATTCTTGACACATTTCAAATGTATATTAACATACAGCGACTTGGAACAAAGGTCAGTTCGAGTTTATAAATATTTAAAGAATTATCTTATTACAATCAGGGGCTATCAGCATCTTGAAGTGAGATATCGTAGAACTATTTTCGCCAGAAACAGGGCTCTATGTCATGTTACAACTAGTCGCGTGCAACTGGTACATGCTACCGGAAAATGACAGTAATAATGTCGTTCAATTTATTGATATATCGTGTGTACTTTGTTGACATTGTGACGAACACTCTATAGATCGTTAGATTTATCTTTTTAAAGAATCAGTAAACATAGTAAATGTGCAATGTGGAAGGTATTAAAGATTAATTATTGATTCTCCCATATTATATTTATAACTAATCATATTGAATAAGATTCTTTTTATGTTTTGTTTGTTGTACATTTTGTGTTATTTATTATAAGGTTAAGAAATAATGATGACAGAGATGTACGCATTAAAAAATTAAAGAACCTTTGTGAGCACGCTCACATACCCCACGCCCCCACATTGTCACTGGACAAACAAAATCTAACCAGATTCCTAAGTTCAAAGACTCATAACTCTACAAAAGTCAACTTATAAAAATTTTCTTGTGGATATGCACATTTACACATTATGTCCTCATTAACTACAAAGTTTCATGAAATTCTGTTGTGTGGTTTCAGAGGAGTTGCGATGACAAACTGTTGCAGTAGTATATTGAGGCCATTCAGGCCAATAAGTTCAAAGTAGCATAACTCTTAGAAAAAAAATTGAATCATAATTTCCTGTCGATATGCACATCTACATAGTATGTCCTTATTATCTACAAAGTTTCATGAAATTCTGTTGTGTGGTTTCAGAGGAGTTGCGATGACAAGAACAGGACTGACCGACGGACGGACAGACAGACGGACGAACAGACGGACAGACGGACGGGTCAAAAACATTATACCCTCCGCAACTTCGTTACGTGTGGTATAATAACATTTGGTGATAATATAACAGGAACACCCATACATCAAAGAAACGATTGTTTGTAAATTTCCAGGTGAACATTGTGCATCAATTCAGAATAATACACGTTTGTATGCACGGATGAACAATAAACCTTGGAAAAAATTGAACTTGCGTGTAATAAGTTTGCACAAAAAACAGTGCACTTTTTTTCATTCCTCCACAAAATGCCAAAATAAACTAAGTTGTGAAAGAGTTTTGAGAACTTCCCCACAGGTAATAATTGAAGTAAACTGTATTGATTGAAATGGACAATAGATGGACAATAGATACCTGACAAAAATTGGTGATTTAAACTGTGTACCTGAGTGGACCATATCAAGTGAAACTCAACAGTTCGTTAATTTTATCATATTCTGCAGGGCCGTAAAAGAGTGCACTGCAAAATGCAGTTAAGTTTTAAATTTTCTAAAACATACAATGCATTTGAATTTTATCTATCTAAGGCATGCTATGCCTTAAAACTTTTCCTGATGCACAGGTTTGTCTGTACTCAGAATAAATTTTGAGGTGAAAACGCAGCCATTTTAGCCAAAGGGTCCACATAAACCTTAAGAAACAACAATATTGTTCCAATAATACATTAGGAAAATGTACTAAAAGGTTATTTATTACTCATATATGTATGTTATTTACATTGATGTGTGTACAAGAAATTATTGCACCATAGCTATACCTTGCAACACAGATCCGACTATTGCATACAAAAAGTCATTGTGTACCTCTCTTTAGCCGCATACATTTGTGTTCCTTAATTTGGTCCGAAACTAAGAAAATTAGTCGTATTTTCCTTAGCCAGTTCAAACCAGAGCTTCTTTATATTTGGAACTAGGTTTTATAATAATAGACTAAACTGTATCCTTATTTCAGTCATGTCGCATGTTTCAACATTGTTTGCACATGTTTTTGCTTTTTGCTTAAAAGTATTTATAAGCAGCCGCGGGGTGTACACATCTTGTTCAATGAATTACGTTTCATTGGAAAAACATTTTGAACGATGAATGTCAACAACTCAAAAAAGGACTATTGATAGTTCTTTTAAAATACAAGACACATAAACAATACATTTACAAATCACGTACAGAGCAGTGACACACACAAACACTCATAAGTTTCACCACAAAATACACACTTTCACTATATCTATTACGGATGTACTTAGCAGTCAGATTTAGGAATTTTTGACAGATGTATGGACTCCTTGGTTTTTTTTCTACGATACAAGGTAAAATATTTTGCACCATAACACCAATTTTTCTTTTCATATAAGACTTCCTTCAATAGCTCATAAAAGGTCATTTACAAAAATTTAAGCAGATTCTTGATTTCTTTTCTTTCGATTTAAGACCCAAATAATACCAATGTAAATATAAGGTAAAAGTCCGAGTCGGCCTTTTCCCGCCATTTTTTAAGATTCAAGATTTTATTTGAACACGCAGACACAGATAATGTGTAACTTGAGGTCATTAATAATAGCATTACATAAACATGACGAAGTAAACATGTGGTATTGATAATATAGATATAGCATATAGATATAACAATAATATACAAATATGTTTTCCAACATTTTCAGAACATATTTTAAAGATTAAATATCTCGAAAAGGAGCTCCATCACATATATATATCAATATTTATAGCTTATTTTGTTACTTAACTAATGTTCATCTGACTTATAGTATCAGTTTTAAATTCTTGATTTTTTTAACATCCTTAAGTCGAATTTTTGCCTGATTTTAATGAATTGGCTGTAAAGGCGGTAGTTACAAAAAATTACTAACTGCGCAATGGATATAAAAAGCATGATTAAGGGCAACAAATATGTGATACGTGTTGTTTTATATTACAGTGGAAATATAAGCACTTGGACTGTAAACCCACAAAGTTTTTTGCTGGCAGATCCGAATAAAAAGTCCAGATAGATATGAAAATCTGTGAATTAAATTTCAACTAATAGGAGACTTGCAACAGACAAGTGAAAGAGAATAACAATAATTTGCAACTAAGAGACACAATTTCGGACTAAATCAGTTGTCAGTTCGTCATACAAAATTACAACAACAAGCTCGAGTCATTATTGAAAAGGTCGATCATCTTACAGGTGATACGAAATTAATACGACAGTGGTCAACGGTGAGAAACCATGGAAAGTAAAAATAAATCGGAGGACACTTCTGTAGAAATTTATCAAAGGGAAAACACTAATGAAAGAAAAAATGGTACTGAAGACTTAGATCAAATGAGCGGTTTGGCAACAAACAGCTACAAACAGACTATTGCTAATCCGATAGACTTGAAGAATGAACATACTCATTTTGTAAAATGTGTGAATAGCGAAACACATATTGACGATTCTGTTAACCAGTCACATGCCAAAATCTTCTTTTATAATATAAATGAAAAGTCTCCTCCTGAAATATCTACGGAAAAGGAAAATCAACAAGAAACAACTCGCAATTCAAATGATGCCACAAAGATTGCAACTAGCTCTTTCGAAGTTTGTCAGGAAACCGTAACATATAAAACATCTCAAATGGATCTTAATATTAAAACAGACAAATCGCCAGACGAATTAAATGTTATCAATCGAGCATCACAAAGTTCAAATTTAGACGATTCTCCGATAATGCAAAGACCCCCGTCACACATTACTATTGCTAAATGGACAACGACAAATACACCTTCAAAAGAATTGGAACAATTTGATTTAGACAAAATATGTGAAGAGGTAGATACATTAACAAGACAAAATTCAAGAAAGAAACGGGTAAATGATTTGGGCTTTGATGATATTTATAAAAATGGCATTAAAATAGGAAACTCTACATTTTACATAGATATTGAATCCACTTCGGAATCAATACAAAAGAAGGACGAAACCGATTATTTACTTGAAACATACAATGTTGATGGGATAGACTCAAATAGATACCGATTGTCTTGGGGCGTTTCTAATAATGATACGGATTCGAATGTTTTATACTCATCTTTACAATCGATAAAACATGATGAGAGTGAGGCTTTTAGAAGTTGTATGGATTGTATTAAACCTGTTCAAGTTAAAAACTGGACGGAAATCAACCAAGGCGACCATATTATTCTTACAAGGAGTTTCTATGACCATCACGCTATTGTGGTAAGAGTATTTAAACCAAGGGATGATAACATTGATCAAGTTAGTTTGGAATTAATTCATCAAACAAACAGTGCGATGGGTGCCGTTAGGGACAGTATGCGTCGTAAAGGAAAACTAGCAAAATTAAAACGTGAAACAGAAACTGTCAATTTAAAAACGGACATAGTTAGTATTTGTAAATATTGGGGAAGTATAAAGCCGAGATCTCCCGAAGAAGTAGTTAAACGTGCAATTGGAGCTTTACGTGGTGCCAAGGATGAATTTTGGTATGATGTTATGAATAATAATTGTGAACATTTTGTTTCTTGGTGTGTAACTGGAAAAAAACTAAGCATTCAAATAAGGAAAGCTACAATTGTCCTTAAAATATTTTTTAAGTTACAGAAAGGATTCCGTGGACTCAGTGACGAACTATTAAGAAACAAAGTCGAATATGAACATGGCATGCTTTGTAAAATGTGCTTCGAGAGAAATGAGAAAATGCTTAGTGTTACAAAAAAGAAAGTTTTACTTAAAGACGACTTACAAAAAGGTGACATAATTTTGTATAGATATTTCAAACTTCAACACTGTTCAGTGGTTCTTGACATCATCAGACGAAAAGAAAAATATATTAAGTGCGAGATCGCCCACTATGCATTCAAGGGACCGTTCACACAGAAAAAAATACAAAGTGATATTTTGAAAGTTCCATTTAATGGAACTGTTTCAGTATTTGATTATGCGAGCGATTTTATAACTTATGATCCAGAGGAAGTAGTTTGTCGAGCTAGGGAACGAATAGGAGAGGAAATGTTTTCTTATTTTTCTAATGACTCAAGCCATTTCGCCCGCTGGTGTAAATTGAAATTGTTAAACTAATGAAAATAAATATTTTTGTTCACTCTAGAATTTTTAACGAACACATGAGTTGGACAGAACTATTCGTTTGCTGATTGAGGGAGGATAATCAAATTCAGTAAGGACTATCTTAGAACTAGCTCTTCGGTACACTTGTTTGACTGATCTAATTTTAAGGCCAAAAATAAAATTTAGATTGTTTGCTGTTGCCTATTACTTAATTTATTTCACTTGACTAGGCGGGGTTTAACCGGTTCGCTTTTCATAGACCAGTCCATCTATATACAGGTGTTTTGGGATAAACTCATTAATTAAGTGTCCAGTTATGGTCATTGATCCGGTTAAAATATGTAAACTCTACATGTGTATTTGTAAAGTAAATAGTGAGACGCAGCCGTTGATTTTCTTGTAAAACGGAGTTTAAAAACATGTAAAAATTGTCACATTTTGGAAATTGTGGATTTGAAAATATAACTATGACGATGGCAGTTGCAAAATATGCATATGTCGTTATTCTATAACGTTTTGATATACTTTTTTTTTCTTCCTTTTATTCCGAATGCATTTTATTTTGTTGGAGGGATGGGGGCACGGGGATAAGTTACAAATGGTACTTCGACCTTATTGATTTCCTTTATTTTCAAAGTCATAAATTTATAAATTTAAACTATTTTATTCGTCCCATTGCATACACCTTTTAGTTCTTTTGTATATCCGTTTGGTGACACTGATAGGTGATTAGAAATCAGTAATAATAATTATAACGGGAATCATCCTTATCACACACATCTTCAAATAGACTGTCCTTATGCAAATTAAAACGTAAGCTCTGCCCGATCAGTTGAAAAATCATTTGTAATACCTACCCACTTAAAAAGCAGCCTACCCGAAAAATTTATGACACAAATCGGTTCAAATTTTTATTTTAAAGATTTTTCCTCCTAGAATGTCGTTTTCTTATTTAAAACATGTAACTTACGTTGTTTCCCAAACAAAATAAAAATAAAATCCCTACTACCTTCCCTGGGTAGGTATCATCAAACAAAGAATTGTTAAAGGTTGGCCTTATTGAAGGAACTATCCAGTAACACAGTTCTACGCCATAATTATAACTCCATTATTGTTTGATCTTTAAAAAAATGACCATGCACTTTTAACTTGCCAAAGTCAGAAGACTATTGTGAGCATTATTTAATGTTCATGCTTTGCTGTACAAATTCACCAAAGCCGTTCGTTATATTATATTCAACAGACTTCTATGATAAAACACATTTGATTTTGGTTGTTTTATATATCTATCATAAGAAATACATAATATTGACGGCAAGTATTTCATTTATCATTTCACCCAAAGGATGAAGTAGGTTAAAGAAAATATATTCGTCCCTGGACTTTTCTCGTTCGGCCTTGCTAGAGTGAGGAGCTCGTTTTGCTGTGTGGGATGCATAAATACGCAACCGCATCTGATACACCGTACGATGAATGCTTCGCTCTGTGGGCGAAAAACAATATTTTGCAACAACTCTCTTTATGTTGAATTATTCGAAATATAACGGGGTGTTTTTTTTTTAATATCGTAAAGGCATTCATAACGTAAACCGTATGTGGCAAAACTTTTCGAAAGTTTCGATTTCCAATGCTCTTCAATCTGGTATGCGATTTGGACTTCAAAATGATTTAATTCGATCGCTACTGTTGGGTCTCATGTAGATGATGAAATGCGCGGCTGACGTATCATCTTATAAATTTGGTATCTTTAATGATTATTTAGGGATGCAAAATTTGGCCTGATGAAAGTCAAAATTTCTGTATGTCCCTATATTGAGTTTAACGTGGTTAGCCAAACTGCGTACATCTAATTTACATTTACCCATAGAAACTGTTCGTTGGTACAATATCCCAAGGGAGGATAGAACATGTAACTTATGCAGAAATGGTATTGGAGATGAATTCTATAGTTTGTTTAAATGTAAATATGAAAATATTGTATAATCAAGAAACAATTACATACCACTCCTATGTCATTGTATGTACTACACAACTTCCCCGAACATTCTCAAGTTTGAAGGTTTACTGTTATTGTAATACTGAACTATACAAAAAGCTATCGTTGTTCTTCAGAAAAGTTAATGTATTTCTTTGATTTAAATCATACCGATCCATTTATGTTGTGTGTCTATTTGCATAATTATTCACGCTGTTTGGTGCTAATGAGCTATGTGTATTGACTTTAATATGTTTATTTGTTCTTCTGTCATGTTATTTATATATATTGTATTATATATTGTACTCCATGTTACACGTTTAAATGTGTCTGAGTGTTTTCTAATAAATCGAAATCGAAATCAAATATACTCCCATTTTCAAATGGCAATAAGAGTTTTCATCCTTCATTCCGCTTGATTGACCGTGCGGAACATACCTATTATACACCTCCATTCCGGTCGATTGGCCGTGCGGAATATACCTATTATACAAATACACCTCCATTCCTGTCGATCGACCGTGCGGAACATACCTATTATACACATCCATTCCGGTCGATCGATCGTGCGGAACCATATCCAACTATCGCGGTCATCACGTGACTTTTACAATTCAGTTGTATATCATTAATGGCCGATTGATTATCAATGAAAATGAACGGGCTACATAGATTAAACGATCATAACTTTTTTGTTACATTGTGTATTTTACCTTCCAACCCCGCGTTTTATAGTATTTTCATTTTTACAATTAAAAATGTTTTTAGTTTCAGTTCAGAAATATGATTTCTTGCTTCAAATTAAGTTTGAAAATGGAGGTGACATAACCACACAGCCTCCGTTGACTTCTTCGTTAAAACTCAATAAAATTGCAATGGGACCTTCTAATATGATCAATTTTCTCAACTTATTATTTGTTTATAATATCCTTCTAACCCCTAAAAAGATCGACAACACATTCATTTAAATGAAATCGAAACCCAAATCAGTTTAGGTAACAAACTTTTTGCTTCAAAATTTGATTGAAAAGTTTACATTTTGGCATTCGTAAACAATATTTTGAAAATGGCGGCCGATGTCGGAAGTAAACAAAGACACGAAATGTATATGTGAAATATTTATAAAAGTGTGTCTTATTGTTTTTAGAAATTTCTTATTTCACCTTTAATTTAATAAATTTATTAGAAACAGTCTCTCGCACTCAAAACAAAGATTTATATGCATCAACCATGCATTGTTTACATTGACCATGTTGACAGCGTAGGTCGACTTGTGAAAATATATATTGTAATATTTTTACGATGAAAATAAAAAATAAACTGTTGGATGCATGCGTTTTCAGTTTTTGTCTTACCTTAAAGCAGCATAGAATCAAATATTTTGTCTTTTTGATAAAGTAGATACATGCTTTTTGTTTTGATAAAATTTCGAAGTTACATAAAAAAAATGGCGACCAACCAATTTTCAAAAGTGGACGATGTTCGACACTAATTTTGCCCATGCAAATAACACAATTTAATTTCACTGTTTATATTGCAATTAAATATGACACGTTATTGTCACTCTAATAATACACAAGGACATAGCTTGATTAAGGAGATATAAAGTCATCAACGTGATCAAAGAAAACAAACACGGCACCTAATCACAATGTAAGATCATGTAAGTTTTGACAAGACTTATGTAGATTAGTATGGTCCGATTCTTATAGAAATAATTTTATGGTATTATTTTGTATTAATAAAAAAAAACCTCGAAACCCCGAGGTGAAATATCTACATTTTTCAATTTTCTAAATCATTCATCACACGGGTTACCAGTAAATTTTTCATAATCCTAATTAAACCAGTAACATGCAGAGTTATCGAACGTAATTATGACTGGTATAGTTGCATATGATACCTATTATACATCTTTATTCCGGTCGATTGACCGTGCGGAACATACCTATTATACATCTTCATTCCGGTCGATCGACCGTGCGGAACATACCTATTATACATCTTTATTCCGGTCGATTGACCGTGCGGAACATACCTATTATACATCTTCATTCCGGTCGATCGACCGTGCGGAACATACCTATTATACATCTTCATTCCGGTCGATCGACCGTGCGGAACATCACTGCATGAAAAGGTCGATTTACATACGTATGTAAATAAAATTGAGAATGGAAATGGGGAATATGTCAAAGAGACAACAACCCGACCAAAGAGCAGACAACAGCCGAAGGCCACCAATGGGTCTTCAACGCAGCGAGAAAATCCTGCACCTGGAGGTGGTCCTCAGCTGGCCCCTAAATAAAATTGTGTATATGATAAACATAAATAAAGGCACATATTTAGATAAACTTTACTAGGATGTGAATATGTTTGTGCTATCTTTGTTGACAATTTATCTTAATATTTGATCATCCATGGTGTTGCAGGTAGGCGCGGCCGCCTTTTACATATCATATAAAACGTGGGTAAATTGTGTGAACTCAGTACGATTCTCTATCCTGAACAATCGTTTTGAATTCAATACAAATACAAAAAAATCACACCATTATTAAACGTGACCATGCGCTAAATTTTACTAGCGTGTGGTATTGTATGGAAATAGTTAAATTTGCAATGGTAAGTAAATGCTTATGTTTTTAGTGCATGCAAATATGACTTTTTAAAAGATTTATAGCTTGTGAAAATATTGATTAAAAGTTGATATTTCGTTTATCTTTCACATGCACTAAATGTTTCTTTAATATTGATATTTTGTTTTAATTTTATAGGTTTTGTGTCAAAGTTAAATTTCAAATTTTGTATAGGTATAAGCAGTATTTCATTTGCATGCATATGCAAATATGGTGAGGCATCTTTAGTTTGAACCTGGTTACCCAATAAAGCAAATATTTAAGTATTTACATATTTCAGACCAACATAAAGTAATGGGCAACCTTATCATTTGTGATACTGAATTTTTAAGCTATCAAAAGATAACGGCATTATGGAAATTAGCATATATGCGAAACCTTTGTAAATATATAGGAAACATAAACATTTATGTGGTGTGCAAATGATTTGAAAGGTTGTTGTTTGAAATCATTTACATATTGAAAAGAACTGGAAATTTATAGTTATATTTGCATTTAGTTCATTCATTGTTTTCTGTCTAAATACTTGTTTTGTGCACATATTGCTGTTGGGTAATAGGGTCTCGCAGTTTTGAAAATTA